TTTCTTTCTTTCTTTCTTTCTTTCTTTCTTTCTTTCTTTCTTTCTTTCTTTCTTTCTTTCTTTCTTTCTTTCTGGGAAGCAAAATGGTCTTCTGCTTCAGCATAGAGGTCCATTTTTAACCTTTTTCATTTTTTTGAATGATTTGCATTTATCAAATGCTTAACTAAAAATGATTTACAAAACTTTTACAAACTGTTAAAAGAATAAAGGATGGCCCTGACCTAACTGTTCTGAGATGTGTTGCTGCCATAAAATTAAAAAAAATACCATATTTTTAAAACTTACCTTTTCTTACTTTCAGCACTAAATATGTCATTGTGAATAAAATAGGAGTTTGCAAATCATTGCATTCTGTTTTTTTAAAACAGCTTTTTTGGAAACTGTGTAAAAATCTTTGTTGGACAGGCTTGTGCTATGACAGTAAATATTTTATTCTACACTAGTTTTCTCAGAATTAGGGTTATATTTCATATTTTTTAGTGGAATTTTTATTCTAAGTTGCATATATTCCTTCCTGTAGGTGGTTTGCATGGACAGGAAACTCGATTTCTTGGTCAACGCGTACGTCCAGCGTATGGGCATCACTCACTCAGAAACAGAGGCCTTTTTCAACTCCAAAGAGCCGTATCCAGCTCCACCTTACCACAGCCCAGAGGAGACCAAGGAGGAGAAGGAAGGAGCAGAGGAAGTGAAGGAGGAAAAGAAGGTGAAGACATCCTCAGCGGATGCTCTGTGTTCTGATGAATCTCTGGAAAAGAAAGATCCTCTACTTGGTCAGTCTGTGGCGAGATCAGTGGGCACTCCATCTGGCAGCAACAGCAACAGCCGCCCCTCGACGTCCTGGCAGCACCAGCTGCAGCACCCCCTCAGCCAACCTGCCTGGGGCAGCAGCGTGGCCAACACCCCCTCACCTGTAGCAGCTGGAGGCGACAAGTCGCCCACCGTATTCCGCCTTCCTCCCCCACCTGCTCGAGTGCACGACCGGTTGTCCTCTGGACACGGTGGCAGCCGCAGGGAGGGCGGCTCAAACGGCAGGAGGCGCCACAGGAGGCAGAGGTGTCAGCAAGACGCCACCGCCGTAGAAAGTGACACGTCTCTCTCCATCCCGTCTGTTGACCACGAGGAGCTGGAGCGCTCCTTCAGCGGTTTCAGCATCTCTCAGGCCAAGGAGGACTTCTTCGGGCCTTCTTTCTTTACAGGCTCATTAGCGGGCGTGACAGGGACCGAAGCTGGAGCCGGACCATCAATCTGTGCCAGGGTCAGACCTTTTATAGCTGAAGGGGAATCAGATACGGACTCTGACCTGTAYGCTCCTTCACCTCTGTCCTTCACTGGAGAGCTCTCATGTGGAGAGAAGGGATGGCCGGGACTGAAGTAGGTCAGGGAGGTTTTCTCAGTTGAGACTTGTGGCGACAGACCAGTGCCAACGCGAGAGCCTTCATTAGACCTTCCAGCCAACTAACTCATCGTCCAATATTACAAATCATTTTAGGTTAAACAAATTCATACAAAAGATACAAAAAACATGATCAAATAGAAAAAAAAATCCCCAAAAGTTTACTTTTGCCTCACAATTTATGATTACAAACCAACAATTCACAAGCTATCCTTAATTTTTCTTTTTACATTAMAAGATTTTGGATAAGTAGAAAAAAGAGGATTGTTGTTTAACTTTTTATTCCAAATAGTACACGCGTTCAAGGTCTTTRTATGTTAAAAAACACTTCAGCAGACAAATGGGAGTTTGTAATGCAACGTTGTGAAAATCTTATCACTTGTTTAGCAYACTGTCTTGAAAACCTCTATATCTTTGAATGACTTGAGGTGTTACGATGCCAAACCCTTAGCTATCCGTTAGATTCTTGCAGAGTAAAAAAAGGCTTGCTTCTTCTCCTTCTTCAAAAAAAAAAACTCCCCTTAAAAAACTAACAATTAACCAGTAAACCCCTTTGCATGGCATGTTAAATGGTTGATTTTAGGACTGTGTTGAGCAGGTTATAACAGCAGCAAAAAGTCAGTTCCTGTATTCTTTAAAATCCTATAGAGGCAGACAAAAGGGTGCATAAAACACGACGTGCTTGACGTGACTGGTTTCAAGCTGCAGTGTTTTAATGTTTCTCAGAGGAATGTAAATGCAGCCTGAGCATTTTAATTCCAACAGCACGCTTCCTGAGCAAACGTGTGCACAGTTCACGTGCAATGTTTAAGTGCTACACGTTTAAAGAAACATTAGGGGCTAAAATTTGATGCAACACGTAGAATTTGTATTGGTAAAACCCAACAGGCGTCGTTATAGTTGGAGCTGTCAGACTTGTTGCCCAGATGTGATGGCATCGATCATTCATGTAGCCATGAATTCATAAAGCCTCTGCACTAAATGACGAAATGCAATAAAGGTAAAAAATCAAAATCAAAACAGCAAACAGGTCAACCGAGAACCATCCTTAACACACATTGCCTTATTTTCACACAGAAAAAGTCATTTTATAAGTCCACGAATCAATCTTTTATTTTTAATGTTACATAAGCAAGTTGAAGATTGACTTTAAGTGGTTAAAACACTGTGGCCTCGGGACATTAGCACATTGATGATCTTATCTAATTTAGATGTAACCTACCTAGCCCCTTCATTTTGGCATTACTGCTCTAACTTTGACATCAATGCCKATCAACTGATTGGACTGGACATTAGTCAAGTAAATCTAAGTTCAATGATGTAACTGCACCTTCATCTTCTTCATTAATAAAAGTTTGTACACCACTGAAAATGATGACTTTCATTCGATTTTTAAATCTATCTTTTGTGTGAATAAAGCTGTCATATTCTGTTGTGAAAGATACCATGTGTAGGATAGTGCAATGACAACATAATTCCACTTGATGGCAACCAAGACTCTAATTGTTAGATAGATGGGTAGATAGATGCGGGGAATTTAGAAGGGTGGGTAGATAGATAGATAGATAGATAGATAGATAGATAGATAGATAGATAGATAGATAGATAGATAGATAGATAGATAGATAGATAGAT